GGGAGAAAACCAATCAATTGTCCTACCCAGCAGTGAACCCTAATAAACAACAATGACTTGCCCTGCAAGCTATCACTATTGGTGAAGTGGTGGCACTCGGATCTTGGGGATAATCAACAGCTATCTAATTGGAATTAAGGCCTCCTCAGTGGGAGGGAATTCATGTGTGGTACAAACAGCCAAATACACATGGATAGAGAGGTCGTAGATCTAGAGAAAAACTTACTTTAGCCACATTCCTAGCCCAACATTTCATTTTAAAAAAAATTTAATTTTGTATTGAATTTTTGTGTAATTAATACAGAAAATCATCTTTGTACCCCTTCCCTCCTTCCCCTTTGGCACCCTCCCATAGCTCCCCCAGTGGAACTCACGCATTCATTCTGTCATTTGTGATAAGGTCTATTATGTAAAGTTAGTGTCCCAAGATAGGCTAACTCCCTTCAAGAAAATCAGCACTTCCTCACCCAGCTGCCAATAATCTTTTGACTAAGATTGGGGCTTGCTGTTCATTTCCATGATTCTGTGCTGGGTTTTTGTCTGCCTAAATTTGCATGGGTCTTATACATGCCGACATCATTGCTGTAGGTTCCCAGGCATCTGTAAGATTACTTCCCTACGATCATGTACCTCCTCCCTGGCTGTTATAGTCTTTCTGCCCCCTCTTCTGCAATGGTCCCTGAGCCCTGAGTAGGTGGACTTCAATATAGGAGTCCTGTCTAAGGACCCACACTCTGCAGAATCTTATTCTCTACATTTTGGCTATTTGTGGCCTTTAGTGTTCCTGGCCCTCTGTTGCATGAGGGAGCTTCATTGATGAGAATTGAAAGATGCATTATTGTTCTCTTCATCCTTGTTCTATGTTCCCTGAGTCTTAGGTATAGAGATTGCTTCCTAGATGTGCCACTTAGGCTTGGGCAATTCACAGAGCATCTCTGTGTGTGACCAGTGTTGTAACTGTAATAATTTGTCTGTTGACGAAGAAGCTACTTTGATGGGTGGTGACTGGGATGCTTGTCTGTAAATTTAAGGATTCATATTTTGTACATAGTAAGAAATTACATTTGTGTAGGGTTATGAGAGCCTTGGTATTTTCTCTAAGATCTGTGACCTCTCTAGCTATGTGTATTTGGCTAGGTTTACAGTACCAGACATGAGTGTCCTCCCATTGAGTGGGCTTTAAGTTCAGTTAGGTAGCTGTTGATTAACCCAAGATAAAAATGCCACTGCTGCACCAATGTCATTTGCTATGCTGGTCATTGATGTGACTTTTAGGCCTTGAAGCTGGGGTTGGACCATCGATTGATGTTCTCCCTTACCAGCTTCTGTAGTGCTCTCCAAAGCTATTAGAACTAGACTTCAGGGGAAGTGCCTTCCGGGTCAGTTCCAGCTTCATTGCTCCAAATCCTGTGTCTAAAGTATGCCCTGTCTTCAGCAATAGGGTCTTACCATCAAGTTCTGGGAGGCTCAGGTTCCATTGCAGAAGAAGAGGTAGAAAGATTTTAAGAGCCAGAGGGAGTGAATGACCACAAGGCAAGTAAGTCTTCCAGACAGCTGGTGATTTAATCATATGAGCTCATAGCAATGGTAACAGTATGCACAAGTCCTATACAAGGTCAAACTAGTCAAAATCCCAGCATAGACATGGAAAAGTGGGAGGGAAAAGACATTGTCTTACAGGGTTGGAACTCTTGGTATGTCCAGTGAATGCATCCACACTGAATGACATTGGAGGACATAAATCATACTCTATAGGCCATATTATATATATATGAGAGTTCATTAAATTAGGCACGACTTTAATCTCAGCAGTCAGGAGGTAGAGGCAGGCAGGTCCCTGTGAGTTCGAGGCCAGCTTGGTCTAAATAGCAAGTTCCAGGCCAGCTGGGGCTACAGGGAGACTATCTCAAAAAAGAGACCAAAAAAAAAAAAGTATTCATTTGAGTAAACTCTGTGTGCATTTTAAAATACATTAGATATATATACTTGTCTTTTATTTCTGTATATAGGTTATTAGTTTTTCTACTTGGTTTTATTATGCAACCTTTTTTCTTGTCTAGAATTTTATTTCTTGGCAGGTAGAATATGAATTCTTCTGCCAAAAATCTACTGTATTAGCTATAAGGCATATGTTTCAGACTACCAAACCAAGTATACTGAGTGTTTTGAATTAAATATTTAGTGCCTCATTGACTATTTCCTCTGACTTCCATTAAGACCTTGAGAAATAATTCTTTAATAAACCTCTTATTTGTTTGGGGCCAGTGCACAGGTTGCTATAGAATGAGCCACCTCAATACTGTTTAGGGCCTGGTAAGCTTTTCTTGATACTTTTGGTAGGAAGCTGGAAAATTTCTGTGATTACAGTAAATACTTGGCTTTATTTCCAGTTGTCTGCTAGAGGATATTTCTGTTTTGAGACTAGCAAGACATTTTTTTGAGTCTGGAATAGAGTAAGAAATGTGTAAAGTATACAGTGATTATAAATTATTTAATCTTAAAAGATTTTTTTTTGGTCTTTTTGAGACAGGGTCTCAAAATATCCTATTTTTAACAACCCATAAGGAACTGAGCTTAAAATATATAACCAGCCGGGCGTGGTGGCTCATGCCTCAGGAGGCAGAAGCAGGCAGATCTCTGTGAGTTCAAGGCCAGCCTGGTCTACATAGTGAGTTCCAGGACAGCTGGGGCTACAGGGAGACCCTGTCTCAAAAAGACATATATATCCTAATTTTCTTCTTCCCTAGAATATGTGTGATGTATTTGGCAGGCATAGGATAATGCTTCACTATAGATGGTCATTGTTTCTAATTTTTAAGGACAGTTAAAATTTGTTTTACTTATTCCAGTACGTGGGAGGCAGAGGCAAGCTGATCTTTGTGAGTTCAAGGCCAGCCTGGTCTACATAGTGAGTTCCAGGCCATCTGGGGCTACAGGGAGACCCTGTCTCAAAAAGACTAAAAAAAAATTTTTTTTTTTACTTATACAGAAAACATTTTTCTTTTTAGTTTATAATTGGAAAATACAGATAATCATGTTTATTAATACTTGCCATTACAATCAATCTGAAGAAAAATTCCATGTCTCTAAACAGTCCTCTGTGCTTTCTTTGTAGTTAAATATTTCTACCCACCCAACCCCTTTCTGTCTGTGGTTTCCCTTTTCCAGATTGTCATAAATGAAACCATACAGTATGTGGTCTTAGGAATCTGGAATGGTATCCCTGTTCTTGTGTGTATTGTGCCTTCTTATTACTGAGCCAGTATTCTATTATATGGCTAGTTCAGTTTATGCATTCACCCGTTGAAGGATATTTGGGTTGTTTTCATTTGTGGGCAGTTGTACATGAAGTTGCCATGAATATTTATATAGAAAATTCTGTGGGAACTTAAGTTTTCATTTCTCTTGAGTAAATCCTAGGATTGGTGTTATCAGTTGAATGGCAGTTGCTATCTCTAACTTTATTTGAAACTGCAATACTTTTTCCAAAGTGACTGTGCTATTTTTGCATTCCTGTTTGTAATCTATGAGAGTTTCAGTTACTCTACATCTTCACCAGCAGTTAGTTTTGTTTCTGTGAAAGTCATTTTAATAGGTATGTAGTGCTGTCCTGTGCCTTTCATTTTCCTTTCCCTTTGACTGATAATGTTGAGCATCTTCTCATGTATTCTTTACCTTTCATCTATCTTCTTTGGTGAAATGTGAGACTTTCATCCTTTTCTATCAGGTTGTTTGTGCTTTTTATTTCTGAGCTTTGGAATTCTTAATATTTTGCATTTAAGTCATTTTCTATGTGTTTTTCAAGTATATTTCTACTAGTTTGTGACATGTTCCTTCTCTTAGTGTCTTTCAAACAGTTCAAACTGTAATACCCACTCAGCATTGTTTTCCTGATAACTTTTTAAACTCTTTACAGCTTACGGTATTCCCTGTCCCTGTTCTTATAGCTCTTATTCTTGTTGATTTATCCTTTGGTCAGACAGTAAATATATGGAAATATTATGTCTTGTCATTTGGCTTTTAGTATGTTTATATTTTGAATTGTCACCTAAATTATAGTTGCTTAATGGGTTAGCTATGGGTTAATCTCCTAGATTATAACAAAATGGAAATGAGAAAAGTTAGAAAACTAGTAACTTTATTTGAATGTGAGATAAAAACTTAGGTCTCTTCCATCAAGGCACAGATCTTCCTTTATTTTTGCTTTTCTTCGTCTGTGGCGGATCAGCAGGAAAGCCCTTGACCTTGCATTTCTGTCTACAATGACCTCTTCCTCCCTTTATGGGCTCTTTGTACCAGCTTGACCATTTTAACTTTAAAAATTTTTTTTGAGACAGAGTCTCCCTGTAACCCCAGCTGACCTCGAACTTGCTATGTAGAACAGGCTAGCCTTGAACTCACAAAGATCCTGCCTCTGCCTCCCAAATACTGGGATTAAAGGCATGTACCACCATGCCCAGCCCTACATTTAGAACTTTTACATTTAAAAGGTTCTATAGGGGCTGGTAAGCTGGCTCAATGATTAAGAGCACTGGCTGCTCTGACAGAGGACCTGGGTTCAGTTCCCAGCACCCAATTGGTGGCTAACAGCCATCTGTAGCTCTAGTTCCAGAGGGATCCAGTGCTCTCTTCTGGCCTCCACAGGCATTGCACTAAGTGGTGCTCATACCCACACACACACAAATAATAAATAAGTTTTGGGGCTGGAAAGATTTGCAGAGGACCCAGGTTTGATTCCCACCACCCACATAGCAGCTAACAACTGTCCTAACTCCAGTTCCAGGGGATTCCATGCTCTCTTCTGACCTTCACAGGCATTGCCCAAAATGGGTGCACTTACATACATGCAGGCAATACACTCATACACATAAAATAAAAATAATAAATAAAATATTTTAAAATAATAAATTTTAAAGAAAATAAAATAATGATAGGTATAAGGCACCCCAATTTATTTATTTATTTATTTATTTATTTATTTATTTACTTACTTATTTTTCTGATGTCTGTGATCAAATTTATCCCTGAGCCCAGGCAAGGGGTACAGGGCCCATGAGTCACAGTGTTTCTATGGCAGCCTTTTGGACAGTGCCTGCCATCGGTAGGGTAGGCACCAAATTTGACATGGCCGCAAGGGCACCCCAATTTTAAAGATTAGTAGAACTATAGCTAATTTGATCCAAAATAGTCTAAAATAACTCACAGAATGAAGTCAGTGGTAACTGTTAGTTATTCATGTTGGCCAGCTATGAGGTAAATGGTGTCATTCTAGTTCTTTGCTCTGTTGGAAGAAAATGAAAACCTTCTATTTGGTTAGGCACCCAGGATGGTTAAAATGATTAAATCTTTCACACTTCTGAAAAGGGGACAGATCGTGGTTTGGGCGTTTTATTTTTGAAGACTTTTTAAAAACGAGCAGTTAAAGGCCTTGGAGAGAATTTACTGTGTAAGTTCTTATTGTCAGTGATTTATAGACCTTTGCTCACTGCTAAGGAAGGAGGTAATTTTAATGTTTATGGTTATGACTCCAACCTAAACTGTGATTGTCAGAATAAAATAAGGGTAATTTTGATGCACAGAAATTCCCATAAACAAGTTAATTTGTAGATCATTGAATCTGGAATGTTAATTTTTGCCAGTTTTCCTCCCATAAATCAATAAATACCATGCTTTTTTATGCCAAGCATTGTGCTAAGTACTAAGGGAACAAAAATGCAGCATCTCTTCTCAAAGAACTTTCAACTGAAAATGGGCAGAAAGACAGCACTTCAGTTTGTAAAGTTTCTGATGCTAGCAAGCATCAGGCATAGTGGGAACTTGGAAGAAAAAGCACTAAAATGTGCCTGTGTTCATCAAGAAGGGTCATAATTGAAGAATGGAGGGCATAGGAGTTTTCCAGAAGGAGATGGAACAAGAGTTAGCAGAGGGTACAAAGACCCAGGAGTAAGAGGCTTAACTTCCCTGTTCTGAGGATAGGATTTGAACCTAATCTTAAAAATTAAAAAATCTAAAAAGAAAACCTTTTCCTTAAAAAAAAAGCTTTTTAAAATAAGGTTCTGAGATGTCATTCAGTTACTGTGGCAGTTGGATACATAAATCCATTAAGCAGGCTAAAGCATTGATCTGGAAGGCTTTCTTTTGTGTACATGTGTGTGATATGCATGCATCTCTCTCTCTGTCTCTCTCTCTCTCTCTCTCTCTCACACACACACACACACACACACACACACACACACACACCAGTGAGCTTTATTTTTGTGATGGCCACATTTTTGTGATGAGCAACATTCTTGCCTACCCACTGGCAGATGTGTGGGTCGAGTGTGTGACCACACCCATGTGGGTAACAGGATGAGGGTGTGTGGATAGTTTAGTGATATGTATGGCCCCAATTGGGAAATGTCTCTGAGCTGGTCCTCTGTTGATGGTGTAATTTCCCTCTTTAGGAGTATTTATTCCTATTTTTAATGACCCCAGTAGATTTTAAACTCATAATTAGATAGCATTTTATCTTGTGTGTGCTTTTCCAGCTCTGCTTCACAAAGGATGTGCCATAAATATTTAATCAGTCTCCACAGAACTAGTTTCATTTCATGGCTCCAGATTCTCACATCATTGATGTAATACTTGCGGCATGTATGGTAAAGAATCAAAACTTAAAACTTAAGTTTGGGGAAGAATTTTACAACAGCTATAAGTCCTTTTGTCAAGGAATTTGTAAAATATAATGACTTTAAAAAGTAGGCACACTTTTCAGTGATCATAAAATGCTGAATAGCTATTTTGTACAAATTTCTTTGCAAACCCAGTCTTTCCATTACTTTCACAATGTTTACACCTCAGATTATTCAGTATGCACTGGGGGACATTTTTTAATCAAATCCATGGTCATCTTTTGTCCCGCGCTATCGTCTCGCCAGCAAGAACGACGCGGCACACTCAGGATCCTTCTGCAGAAAAGCTTTAATGCATCTTGAGAGGGAGAGCATAAGCTTACAGGGCGAAGACCCCGAATGTCGGAAACCCAGCCCTTATATAGGTTAGTAAGCCCGTCTTGGACGTGGCAACTCTTGATTGGTCACAAACTCATCAGCCCATATCACGCCACAAGGTAGGCAGAGACTAGAAGGTGGAAAATTACTTCGGGCATGCGTACTGACTTATTTACTGCTCAGCATGAACCGGATGTGAGCGCCATCTTGTAATGGCGTCTGCAGGGACGGCAGGCAGCTCCCCACAGTTATTGCCAGCTACTGCCACTCCTCCATTCTTGTGGGTGCCGCTCCTTTGTTCTCATGGGGGTCAAGGCTGCTCCTCCACTCACCCTGGGCTGAGGCCACTCTTCTGCTCACCTGGTGCTGAGGCAGCTCTTCTGCTTGCCCTGTTCTGCCTCCTGTCGTGGCCTCTTCTGCCCAGTTCCAGAGTGCAGGGCTGGTGAGAAGACTATGTCAGCGGAACACCATTCAGACACAGGAGACCAGGTTCAGTGACACAGGTTTGCTTTATTGCAGGAAGGCACAAGCTTATATAGGGGTAGTGGTCCAATCACAGCA